GCACACTTTGAACTGACTCCCCCTCCCTTAATTGAATTGCCTTTATTTCCCCACAGTAGTAAAGCACTTAAAGTGACTGCAAACCTTTGGTTCTTAAAATAAAAAAGATGCTATACTTACCTGCTCTGTGCAATGGTATTGCACAGAGCAGCCCCATTCATCTTCTTCTGGAGTACCCCACTGGTGCTTTCTGTTCCTCCTCTTCTGTGTGTGTATCCCCATAGCAAGCCACTTGCTATGGAGGGCACATGTGCGGATGGGTTTCTGAGCTGGGTTGTGTGCATCCATAGACACACAAGGCAGCACGGCCACACTGAGAATGCATTAAGGTAGAAAACCATTTAGGATCACTTTAATCTTTCAATTCTGCAGAGTGTTGCAAAGGGAGAGGTTCTGGTAAAACATCCTTCATGACTAAGCAGAACTGCTAAAATCTTGTGACATTAGAGATCACATAACCAACCTTAGAGGGTTGCATGGGGCAGCATCTCATGTCCTGTCATAAGCTATATTGTTTCATGTCTTGTGCATTGTAATTAATGTTTAGGTAAATCACAGATTAAATATTTATGCGTTGCCAATTTTTATTTGCATTAGCATTTTTGGGTGATGTATAGGCGAACACCTCTTTTTTGGTAGCTGCTAAAGGGTTTGTGATTTAGAATTCATTCACGAATTAAGACCAAGGATTTTTTTTATATATATATATATATTTATAGATATGTTTTACCTCTCAAAAAGTTCACTGTACTCATCTTCCTTTCTTCTTAGAAGGCCAGCACCATTTTTAGCATTTTTGGCACAGAAACTGAAAGAAATTTCCAATGGGGACCCCGGAATATAAATGTGTCAGGAACTCTAGCCTCCCCTGACCCTACTGAAAATTATTGTCTTATGCTGTCTGTCTCTGTCTTGGAGATTTCCCCCCTCTCTTCGTGTGTTGTTGATACTTTGGGGTTGATTTACTAAGACTGGTAAGGTTTTATTGCAAAAGATTAATTGAACAAGCTGAAGTTAGAAACTGATTGGCTACCATGCACAGCTGCACCATATTTTGCACTCTCCAGTTTTAGCAAATCAACCCCATTATCACTAGAGAGAGAAGTTTAGGGAAATCTCCTTAACCAGTTGCCAGCCACATACTGTAGCTTTACTGCTACAGTGTGGGCCGGCTGTGCAAAATCACGTATATATATACGTGATTTGCTTTTCCAGGATGGAGACACTCGCGCGCGCGCCAACCCACCCTGCCATTGGCTTCCTAACATGTTGATCAGCAGTTCCCATCCAGTGATTCACGGCCGGGACCCACCGATTGTCAGAGCTAGCTTCAGGAGAGAGGTCTATGTTAAAACTAAAAACTAAAATAAAAAACAACACAGATTTCCCTGCTGACAGTGGGGATGTGACAGTTCTTGGGAGACAAAATCTGTCACATCCCCTAGTCAATCTGTACATAGTCAACACATTACACATAGTTAGACACACAGTTAACCCTTTGATTGCCCCAGATGTTAACCCCTTCCTGCCCAGTGTCATTTGTACAGAGTCAATTTATTTTATTAACACTGATCCCTATTAGTGTCACTGGTCATGTCAGTGGCAGTTAGTGTCAGAATGCCCGCTGTACTGTCATAGTTCTGATATAAGTTGCTGATCACTGCCATTGTTAGTAAAAAAAAATTCCAGTATACAGTATATACCTTCATTTGCAGACGCTATCATTTTAACACAAACCAATTCATATATATTTATTGAATTTTTTTTTACAAAGGACATGAAGCAAAACGCATTTTGGCCTAAATTTATGAAGAAATTATTTTTTTTAATGGGGTATGTTTTATAGCAAAAAAAAAAAAAAATACATTTCGGTCTTTTTTGTTTACAGTGCAAAATAAAAACTCATTGGCGATCAAATACTGCTAAAAAAAAGCTCTATTTGTGTGAAATAATGCTATAAATTTAATTTGTGTACAGTTTAGCATGACCGCGCAATTGTCAGTTAAAGTAGCTCAGCGCCGTATAGCAAAGAATGGCCTAGTCATGAAGGGGGTACATTTTCTGGAAGGCAAGTATTTAACTTTGCCACAAAAATCAGTAAAACTATTTCCAATGTATGTATATATATATATATATATATATATATATATATAAAAAGATTTAGCTGAAGCTGAATACTGTTTAACCTTAACCAAATTTTGGCCCTAACCAAAGTCTCAACCCCTTCCAAAAAAGAGCAAAATACAAAACTTGCTCTTTGAAGGCGGTTGTTGACTATATATACCCTTACAAAAAGAGAAGCCATGCTCGTTGACTTCTACAGGGCTGTTGAGTGAAATTGAAATTATAGGGCTGTAAACAGTAGGATTATGTGGCTCATAGGAAGGCAGTTTCATGTGCTTTTTTGTTAAATGGGGAAGTTTACAATGTAATTGGTCATGTTTTTATTTGATCGTCCCTAATAATACTAAGTTCTTTTCTGTCTTTAGTGTTAGTAGTTAGTGGCCATGCGCCATTTTCTTAAAATTTTGAAGTTGTCTAGCAAGATTTTGCTTATTCTCTCTCTTTGTATATATACTGTATATATATGTATGTATATTGATTAATATATACGTATATATTAATTATAAGCAAATACATCATTTTACCAGTAAATGCATTTCAAAATTATTATTAGAAATGGAAATATTTGCATTAAAATCATGCATGCTTGAAGGATCCTTTTTTTAAAAATCCTGTCCAAAAATGAAGGCATCAGGAGAACTGCTGACATCTGTTTATCTGTTTATAGCAATGGCAAGAGCACCCGTATTAATTCTTGTTCAAAATGCCATACGAAGGAAAGGCATTAGAGCAAACAAGAGTCGTATTTGAATTGTAGATCATGTCTTAGCCATCTGCGAGAACGGATGGTGTTGAGAAATTAATGTGTTAATGAAATCATAATAATCTCTGAAAAGCAATGAATGGGAAGCTTGAAATTATGGTTTTAAAATGAGGCTGTGATGTGATACATTTTAGAATTGGAAATGTCTATTGTTTTTGAACATTGTTTCAACAAGAACTAAATTAGAAAGTGAAGGCATTACAAGATATAATTAAATAGTTAGAATATATGCTATTTGTGCTATCTCTTACATTTTAGAATCATTTTTTTTACTCTAAATTATCTGGTGAACTCTATAGTGAAAACCTATAGGAAACCTGTGTTTAGAGAGATATGGAGACTGCCATTACTGAGCCCTTCTTCTGAAATATCTGTTTTCTGGCTGCCATACTGACCTTCATTCCCTTGAAACACTAATACATACAAATATGCAAATAAAAAGGACTTCTGACTTCATTCTGACATCCTTTATTTGTTCCGATTCAATTTTCAAGATAGCTTTGATCGCAGAGACAGCCAGGCAAATGGCATTACGGAAAGTCACCAGTTACAAACCCATTTTTGTTCATGGCAGGTTTATTAAAATGTCCGTAACCACTAGAACAAAATGTGACATACTGAAGCTTACCAGTACTTTGGTGTAATGGTTGTAATATATATTTTGTTCATTTTTTTTCTCCTTATTTCTACCCAGTGATCCTGTAAGTAGGAAACTTCCTGTCCTTGACTGACAACACTCACTCACTGTACCCAATCTATGGAGGAGCACCCTTGTCACCCTGGTCATAATTTGGATTACAAAAAACTTTCCGCTCTCATCTCAACAACATAAGTCCACTGTGAAATGAACAGGGACAAAATAACACTCAAAAATTTTTTGCACAAACAAATATAACAAAACATTTCAGTGGTATTATTAACAGACCAAAAATAATAAAATAAGTTTGTTGTTAAGGTGTCCATACATTTTACATACACGTAAAGCACAACTTAATTTTAAAGGGTAAGTCCCCCCTAATGCCCTCCTCCACCCTCTTCTTCTATTTTTGGTACTTTCATTTTGGGGGAAGGCGTGGTTTTTGACAGGTGCCCGCTCCCATATCCGGTTGGATTTCTGGCGGGAATCAGAGGAAGTTCACCTCCCCCCCCCCCCCACCCGCAACCTTCTGGGACACGTCACAGAGGTCCCAGAAGGCTGCAGGGTCAGTCAGAAAATGCAGAGAGGCTCACGCATGCGCAGTGAGAAGCCCTTAGTAATCTTGCTGGCACCAAGAACCCACAGACCGGTGAACAGCCGGTTCGGGCGAGGGTGGCGCTGGATACCTGGACAGGCGAGTGTCCTTTTATTTAAAGTCAGTAGCTGCAGTATTTGTAGCTGCTGACTTTTATTATTTTTCAAAAAGGACGAAGAATCACTTTAAGGAAAAAGCAATTGAAATGTATAAGATATTTCAACAAAATAACATTATACAGATTTTAGTAACAGTTCTTGTGTTCAGTCATTTTTTGAACAAATTAAAAAATTTAATTTACTCTTTCCCATTTAATTTGACTTAGGAGAGCATAAACAGAAACTGAACTGCAGAAAATTCAGAAAATTCTGAAAATGAATACATGCTTTAACTTGCTATTAAAATCCTTTAGCTTGTCCAAGTTCCCCTGTGCTGTATCTTCAAAGGACTAAGAGGTGGGCTTTTTTTTAGAAATTATATAAATTAAACAAACAAAAAAAGTTTAAAAATATAAAAATATAATTTTGGTTCAGAGTATGTGGGTATAATTTCTTATTTTGAAATGTAACTAGATGTCTACAATTGTTTTGCTATATTTACAAATTAATTTCTTTATTATTATTATTATTATTAATAATAATAATAATAATAATAATAATCAGCCAGTGATTTTGCACCTTCAATGAGTGTTATACTTGTGCAAAACAATTATGAATTTTTAAGTTGCCTCAAGTGACTTAGAGAGACCCATAAACGATACAGAAGAAGTGAGCATTTTTCTAAATCAGAACCTGCAGAAAGAACTTCTATTTTTTCTATTGTATTTTTTTTTTTACAATCAATTTACCTCAACTTGCTAAATTTCTAATTTTTCATTTTAGGTATGCGATTGGTGTAAACATATACGGCATACTAAAGAATATCTCGACTTTGGGGATGGAGAACGAAGGCTACAGTTCTGCAGCGCAAAATGTCTAAATCAATATAAAATGGACATTTTTTACAAAGAAACACAAGCCAACCTTCCAGCTGGACTGTGCAACACATTACATCCCCCAGTTGACAGTAAAGCAGAAGGCACGGGGGTACAGCTGCTTACTCCAGATTCCTGGAATATACCGCTGACAGATGCTCGTAGAAAGGTTCCGTCCCCGGCGTCTGCAGCTGGCCAAGTACAAGGTCCTGGATCATCAGCCTCCACCACTGCCTCCCCATCTGATGCTGCCAACAGTTCTGCTACAAAAATTCCCACACCAGTTCCCAAATCCATTCCCATGAATGACAGTCCAAACATTGCACCAGTTCCTGTCCCACCACCTGCCAGTATTGTGCCTCCCATGGGCGTACCACCAAGGAGTCCTCCCATGATTATGACTAACAGGGGACCGGTTCCTCTGCCCATATTTATGGAACAGCAAATAATACAGCAAATACGCCCACCCTTTCTACGAGGTCCCCATGGTTCAAGCCCTAACAGCCCTTTGTCCAGTTCCATTATCCCTGGTATGGGTCCACCTCCAGGTGGTTCCAGAGTTTTAGGCCCCACATCTAGTCCTATGCATAGACCAATGTTATCACCTCATATGCATCCATCAAATACACCTACAATGCCAGGCAACCCACCAGGATTGCTTCCACCACATCCACCTGGAGGTCCTCTACCTAGTCTTCCTTTCCCTCCCATGGGCATGATGCCAAATGGTCCCATACATATGCCACAAATGGTAAATTTTGGTTTGCCATCTCTTGCACCTTTAGTGCCACCACCAACTCTTTTAGTGCCATATCCTGTTATTGTTCCTTTGCCTGTTCCAATACCTATTCCCATACCTATTCCTCAAGTGGTGGATTCCAAACCTCCAAATGACTTCTCCAGCAATGGTGAAAGCATCATTCCAAGTTCATCAAGTGATGCACCAGGTGCAAAGCCAAAGGATAATTCTTTTTCCCCAAGGGATTCTAAACAAAGGTCCTTAAAGCCTTCTGATTCATCTCCTGGTGGTTCAGGGCAGTCATCTCACCAGGCTACAGTTGTTCAGGAACAAACGAAAACTGAAGTGGTAGATTTAACAGTGAGGACAGCAAGCCCAGAAAACAGTAAACTTAGTGTCACAAATACACTTCAGGTCCCACAAGATGGAGTCATAGATTTAACTGTGGCACACAGGTCTAGACTTCATAATGTCATACATAAAGCTCTTAATTCTCCGTTCAAACTTGAATCTGAACCTAACAGTGTTGTAAACTTATCTTTCAGTAATTCAGACAGAACCAATTGTAGTGACTGCATGGAGAATAGCACATTGGAGACAAAAGCATATACCTCCAGTGACTCTGATTTTTGTGGTACATTGTCACAGGCCCCCAGCACTCCAGGACTGGAAACCAGTGCAGCAGTTTGTAATGTCATTGTAAATGGTGCAAAGAACGCAGAGGGTTCTAAAAACTCTGAGAAATTACATGAGCAAAGGAAGACATTGTTAGAAAAGGATCCAGTAGTAAGTGAGTTGGAATCTGTTAAAGAAAACAACTGTGCTTCAAATTGCCACTCAGAGCTAGAAACCAGCAAGAAGAATCTTGTGGATGAGCCCCTTTTACCTGGGGACAAACAAGATCCTAATCTAAATAACCCAGCTGATGAGGACCATGCTTATGCTTTGAGGATGTTGCCTAAAACAGGTTGTGTTATTCAGCCTGTGCCAAAACCAGCAGAAAAAACTGCGATGACCCCTTGTATAATCTCAACTCCAATACTCTCCACAGGGACAGAAGACTTGGAGCCACCACTGAAAAGGAGGTGCCTCCGTATTCGAAATCAAAATAAATGAAGGTTTGTGTCAATATTGTTTTGTCAATAAAACCATGAATTATGCTCAGTCCAGTAGATACAATTATACAGCGCAAATTTCATGTTAGCAATTGGCAAAAGATATTCAGCAATACTGTATGCAAAAGTGCTGCAGAACATCTGATTTATGTAACTAGATTTGTTATTACATGAGATCTGAAAAGAGATGACCACATTGGCTTTAAGGCCAGGCAAATTAACAAAGATGAGTTTGGAGATGGCAACATTTTAATTGTGGTCATCATATGCAGATTTGTGAATAATGATTTCCTGGTTTCCTAAACTGCATGGCTCTCTGCAAATCAGATAAATCTATATGCACACAAGCATACAGGAAATGTTAAAATGGCAACTGATCACCAGCTCTCTGACTAAGTTTCATGACTTTAGCCTCCAGTATATATAAAATTCATCCTATAATTTTTACTTTTACATGGACTAATATTCTATATGGGCCTAAGATAGACTTTTACATTTCCAGCACTATCTTAAATCTGATACAGTAATTTATAAAAAAAAAAGGTTTGGGCATTACCTGCATTACCCATGAAAAAAAAATAATTAATACAAAATTTTGGCAACAATTAAAAGTCATTAGATTCCGAGGGATGCCCTGATAAAATCAATAAAACAATTATTAAATGATACATTCCTTTGGTCACATTATGCTCACCCCCGTTGGAAAATGTTAATATCTGTGTGAGCGTGCTGTCAAAAATATAATGCAAGTGTGTCAGCGCTTTAAAGTCTAATCAACATAAAGCACTAAACAAAGGAAGCCTCAATTAAAGTAAAGCAAATTGTGTCACAACCACAACTATTGAACAGCATCAAAGGGGGAGATTTGCTAAAACTGTAGCACTCACACTCTGGTGCAGTTGTGCATGGTAGCCAATCTGCTTCTAACTTCAGCTTGTTCAATGAAGCTTTGGCAATAAAACCTGGAAGCTGATTGGTTTCCATGCAGAGCTGCACCAGATTTTTCACCATGCAGTTTTAGTAAATAAGCCCCACATTCTTCTTTTTTCATGGATGATTACCAACAAACTTTGTATAGTACCACTTGGTAGTCACTGAACATTGTTAGATGAACGTCTGCCAAGGTGCTCTGCAGCAGAATTACATCAATAGATAACCATATAGTTGTGGAGGTACTTCTTAAAAATACCGCATTATGGCCATAAGATCATAAGATAGAGCTGATGATCATAGGAAATCAATTATTAAGCAAAATATAGTCAGAATTCCTGATGGGCTGGATGAATGCTTGTGACATTCGTCAAGCAATTTTTTTTATAACTAGACCCCTTAATGTGGAAAAGGTTGCTGACCCTTGCTCATGTTTATTTTTTTAAATTTTAAGTTGTTGGGAAGTATTTGCAAAGTACAGTATTTGCTGAAAGTGAGGGAAAATCAAAACATTTGAATCATCCCCAAAACAGAAATAAGGGGGGAGTGTTCCAAGGGGGTTACTTGTTGATGTGACAACAGTACAGGAACTGATTCCCTTTACTTTGGAGAAATCTCCTCTAGCTACATGTAGCGTTTGTGGGGCAGGTGGTGTAGATAAATCCTCCTAGTTGGATGGAGACAGCAAAACAGAATTGAAAGAAGTTTCAACTTATCCCTACTATATCCAAAACTAAGAAAAAATGTTTGGGCTTTACATATACTTAATTTACTTTGTGTATTTACATTGCAGTATGTTGGAATGCGGTGTAGGCATGATGACGTCACTTGAATCCACAATGAACTGCAATGCCTTTCAGAGCATGCTCCGAAACATGTCTGCATTGTGGCTCCAAGCATTGTTTTGTGGTTAAGGAGGAAAGGAAATAACCCCTGTCAGTTTTTTATTGTTGTCTTTTTTCTGCTTCAGTTTTTCCTGCACTTCCTGCCTAGTGAAATGTTTCCACTGTGATAGTAAGTAAGGGGAAATCTCTCTGACAGAACCATGGATAGCAGTTCTGCTTCTTTCCTGCTCAACTCAAAACAAAAATGTTTTGGTTGGACTTGATAGCTTCAATGGTGGAAATATCAGCTGTAAGAATGGTGTGAAACTATTACACCTAGATTTCTTTATAATTTTATATAATGGGAAATTATGTAAGAGAGCCTGACACCCGAAGTCTGACACCCTCATTGTGATAGCCAGATGAGCATGTGTTCGTTATCCTACAGATTTCCCTATGCATAGAGAAAGCAGATTATGTTGGATAGTAACATTTTGATAATGATAGTTACAGTGAAGGAAATAAGTATTTGATCCCCTGCTGATTTTGAATGTTTGCCCACTCACAAAGAAATGATAAGTCTAAAAATCGAATGTTCGGTGTATTGTAACACTGAAAGACAGAATAGCAAAAAAAAGAAATGCATGTCTAACAAATTATGCACTGATTTGCATGGTTATGAGGGAAATAAGTATTTGATCCCCTTCACAAAACATGACTTAGTACTTGATGGCAAATCCCTTGTTAGCAATCACAGAGGTCAGACATTTCCTGTAGTTGGCCACCAGGTTTGCACACATCTCAGGAGGGATTTTGGCCCACTCCTCTTGGCAGGTCATCTCCAAGTCATTAAGGTTTGGTGGCTGACGTTTGGCAACTCAAAGTTCAGTTCCTTCCACAGATTTTCAATCTGGAGAAAGTCTGGAGACTGACTAGGCCACTTCAGGACCTTTAATGTGCTTCTTTTTGAGCGACTCCTTTGGTGCCTTGACCGTGTGTTTTGGGTCATTGTCATACTAGAACATCCATCCACGACCCATTTTCAATGCCCTGGTTGATGAAAGAAGATTCTCACCCAAGATTTGATGGTACATTACCCCTGTCATCGTCCCTTTGATGCGGTGCAGTTGTCCTGTCCCCTTAGCAAAAAATCATCCCCAAAGCAGAATGTTTCCACCACCATGTTTGACAGTTTGGATGGTGTTCTTGGGGTCATAGGCAGCATTCCTCCTCCTCCAAACACGGCGAGCTGAGTTGATGCCAAAGAGCTCGATTTTGGTCTCATCTGACCACAACACTTTCAACCAGTCCTCCTCTGCATCATTCAGATGTTCAGTGGCAAACTTCAGATGGGCCTGGACATGTGCTTTCTTGAGCAGAGGGACCTTGTGAGCACTGCAGGATTTCAATCCTTGGTGGCGTAATGTGTTACTAATTGTTTTCTTGGTGACTGTGGTCCCAGCTACCTGGAGATCATTGACAAGATCCTCACGTGTAGTTGTGAGATGATTCCTCACTGTTCTCATGATCATTGGCACTCCACGAGTTGAGATCTTGCATGGTGCACCAGACCTAGGGAGACTGACAGTTGTTTTGTGTTTCTTCCATTTTTGAATGATTGCACCGACTGTTGTCACCTTCTCACCAAGCTGCTTGGCGATAGTTTGGTAGCCCAGTCCAACCTTGTGTAGGTCTACACTCTTGTCCCGGTCTACACTCTTGTCCCTGACATCCTTGGGCAGCTCTTTGGTCTTTGCCATGGTGGAGAGTTTGGAATCTGATTGTTTGATTGCTCCTGTGGACAGGTGTCTTTTATACAGGTAAGAAAATGAGATTAGCAGTAATCCCTTTAAGAGACTGCTTCTAATCTGAGCTTGTTACCTGTATGAAAGACACCTGGTGGCTAGAAATCCTGCTGAATGACAGGGGACCAAATACTTACGTATGTCCCTCATGAACATGCAAATCAGTGCATAATTTGTTAGACATGCAATTCTTTTGAATTTTTTGTTGCTATTCTGTCTCTCAGTGTTACAATACACCTGCCATTCAATTTTTAGACTGATCATTTCTTTGCGAGTGGGCAAACATTCAAAATCAGCAGGGGATCAAATATTTATTTCCTTCACTGTATGTATATTATATATAATACTCGAGGACTATTTGCTATGAGTTTTGGCATGTATGCAAAATAGGATCCAAAGGGGGGAAGAGCCAGGACCGCTGGCAGGGGACCCAAAAAGAAGAGGATTGGGGCAAAACCATTGCACAAATCAGGTAAGTATAACACATTTTTTTTTTTTCAATTCAGCCTGTGGAATCTCTTTAAGCTGAAAAGCATTTCATAATAATAATTCCATAGAAGCTGAAAGTGACATGCAACTTATGACATGTCATACTGTTCATATTAATGACTACTGACAAAGAACAAGAAGAGATGGTAAATTAGTGATCAATGAAAGAACCAAGCCAACCAATCTCAGCAGGTGCTTTAAAGATAATATAGGTTTCCGACAACGGCATTAGAAAAGGCTCAGCACTGCTAGTGTCCATCTGCCCTCATTATCTGTCTTCTAATATTTATCTAAAAGTTATGTAGATCATCATTCATTCATCCCTTGAGTTTGATAATATAACTTTTATATAGATGTACTGTAAGTAACATTGATTTTACATGGTCTCATTTTAAGGAAATATTAGACCATCTGGACTCCAGTTATTTATGACTTTGATGAGATTAAACTAAACGATTCAGTAACATGCAACAGATGCTAGATTGAAAGTCTTATAACTGGTTTACCCAGTATGCCTGTAGAGTATATTAACTGTCCCCAAGACATGTTCACTTATTAACCCAATACGAGCAGTTCTTTACCATTGGATTTTCCTCTCAACTTTCCTTTAAATTTCATCTCAAAATTGTACATGTTTTAAAAGAGTGTTTAAATAGCTTAACTAAATTTCATTTCATCATTAGCTTAGCATGTAATAAAATGATTGGAATATGTGATTAACTCTGCAATAGACACAGTTCATGTATATTTAGCAAATAATATATTTTGTACTTTGCTGATTACTGTTATATGTTGGCGGAAAGCCAGCATTGCATGCCTTGAAAAGTCTCCAAGAATCACCTATAAATTAAAAAGAGGTATAAATAAGTTAAAGGGAAACAGAGCAGCGGGAAGTGTAATGCTAAGTGTATTAAGGTAGAACTGGAATGGCGTGTTTTGGAATGGAAGATGAA